ATTTTTGTTTGCTTGCCCAATACACAATGCTCGCAGAACTCAAGCTTCCCCGTCTTGGCGCCTTTCAACAGGCCTTGCTTTACCAACCCTTGTAAAGCCTTCTCACCGACATGCCCTAGGCGCATGTGCCAAAGTTTGGAAGTGTCTGATGCATCATCTTCTGAGCTGGAACTGGTGGAGACAGCCACTCTCCCTGTGACTGTAGAGCCATCTAGGAAATATAAATTTCCCTGTCGAGTACCCTTCATTGCAACCAATGCTCCTCGAACAACTTTAAGGACTCCACCTTCCATGGTTATTCTGTAACCTTTGGAGTCTAAAACTCCCACTGAGATGAGATTCTTGGTTAGATCTGGTACATACCGTACATCTTCAAGAATTCTGATTGTTCCATCATGGATCTTCAGTTTAATTGTTCCAATCCCCTTTGTCTGGCAAGCTTGGTCGTTGCCCATCAGCACAACTCCTCCATCGAACTCTCGTAAGCTCGAGAACCACTGCTTGTTAGGACACATATGGAATGAACATCCGGAATCTATTATCCATTCATCCGACTGGCCATATGATGAAACTGTGAAGGCTCCTCCTTCATCATTATCTCCATCTCGTGCAATATTCACCTTCTCTTCTGTTTTATTTGGACAATCTTTTGCCCAATGTCCCTTCTCGTGACAAGCTGCACACTCGTCTTTTGCAAGACGTCTTTTGTCTGAAGGTTTCCCCTTGGATTTTGAGCGAGACTTTCCCCGCCTTGTATATCTTTTGTTATCCGTCCTACCTTGCCAAAACTAAATAATGGATGTTGAGTTCCTGTTTGCAGACTTATCTTTCCTTCTGAACTCATTGTTCACCAAGGCGTTTGCAACATCAATATACTTGATCTTCTCTTTACCGTACAGTAAAGTAGTAGTGAGATGATCATACGAGTCAGGCAAGGAATTTAACAATAACAGTGCTTTGTCTTCATCACCAACTTGATCATCCAAATTCTTCAAATCCGTAATAATTTTGTTGATGTTATTTAGGTGTTCGTTCATCGAAATACCTTTAATGTAGTGTAGTCGAAACGAAACAACCTCTTCCTCAAGTAGAGCCGGTTCTCAATGCTCTTTGTCATGAACTTATCTTCCAGCGCCTTCCAAAGCTTCTTCGCAATATCATATTCTGTAAAGGCATACTTCTCCTCTTTTGCAAGGCAAAGTCGGATGGAACTACAGGCCAGAAGATTCACCCTGTCCTATTCTATCTCGTCCATGTCATCTGGTTTGTCTCCCAGAGTGAAGTGCAGGTTCATTTGGACAAGCATATCCTTAACTTCGCATCTCCACATGCCGAAGTTGCTGCTTCCATCGAACTTCTCTACCTCGAACTTGGCATGGGACACCGGGGTCCAATGCCTAGAAGTGCTTGTACTGGCTGGATTACTTACGGACTCGGATGCTCTAGATTCTGCCATTTTTTAGAAACTTCAATTCAAAAAACTGACCGTACAGATGTGTCCGGAATACTCCAAATAGTTGGGAAGCACTATTGGATCGTCAAAAACGGACTCCGAATGGCTCCGATCTGGCAAAAACACTTTGGACGGGTCAGATCTGCAGAATCTGGTGCGCTGAGATGCACCGGATAATTTCTCCAGTCAACGGCTGTCAACGGCGCAGGCGGCGCAGTCAACGGAGGATCGGCGGCGCGGTCAACGCGGCTTGACGGCTGGTCAACGCGGCTTGGTCAGCGGCTCAGGCTGACTGGGCTGACACGTGGCTGCCACGTGTCTGACACGTGGCGCTGACGTGGCGGATGACGTGGCGCTGACGTGGTGCCACGTGGCTCGTCTTCTTCCTAGAGACGCGCGTGTGGCGCGTGGGTGCGATTGGGATCACGCGCCGGTGCCTGCACGGCGCGTGTGGGCGCGTGCCGAGACTGGGACTCACGCGCCAACTTCCAGGGGCGCGTGAGGGCGCGTCGAAGCTCCTCTGGGCTCTGTTTTTGCTGTTCTGGACTCCTCTCGGGGAGTTCTTCCTCCTGTTATGGTCAAAAGTGGATTTTGAGCACTTTGAAATCTGGGCACTTTCGGGAAAAATTCGATTTTTCGCAACCCGAGCTCTGATACCAATTGTTGAGGATCGGGGGCACACCAGGGAACTCAAACAAGCAATAACACATAAGATTTAACGTGGTTCGGCAAGTCGCCTACGTCCACGGGCAGCGGATTCACTATATTGAACAAAATGGTAAGAATTACAACACTCTCTATAATTCTCTCTCTCTCTTTGCTCTCTAAGCTCAAACCTCTCTGTTATCTCA